GGCTGCCATTTCCTACTCCGGGGGATCTTCCCAACCCAGGGGTCAAACCCATGTTTCCAGCTGCCTTGAAATGAAAGAAGTCTTGATAGATGCTGTGGAAAGAGAAAGTCTAAGGCACTGTTGCCGTGCTCTGAGGCAACAGGCCTAGGAAAGCAGTCACGGCCCTGGCTGGTTGAGACGCTCATCCTGGGCGGTGGTGCAAGTGGGACTCCTGGGGAGGAAGAGGGTCAAAGGGCAGCGGATGGTTCTTGGGAAATGGGCGGGCCGTTCTGTGGTAGAATTGACAGGAAAGGCAGCCTGGGTGAAGTGAGTAAAATAAGCAGCTATCCGAGGGGAAGAAAATAACATGCACTTAAGCCAACTGGTGAGTAGACGTTTCTATTGGGAGTAGAAATAAATAAAACTGTAAGAAGCTGTGCAGTGTCTGAAGGCCCATCTACACGTTTTGTGTCTGTCGCAACAGCAGAGAAGGTTGAAATCCCCAAGCGGAAATGACACGACCACCTTTTTAGGAAGGGCCTTTGCTTTGCTCTTGGGTCTCTTCTCCTATTCGTGCTGTTCACGCTGCACGGGCTCCTGCCACTTTCTGGGTCACTGTGCTTTTCCTCTGGCCTCCAGCCTGTGTGATAATCTGCCTGGGATCCTGTTCCATGACCCACCCTATCTCTCCTTTACTTTCTACCACAACAAACCTTTGTTCACTCATTTTGCTGCCTGTTTTGGTGCCCCTGCCTGCCCCCCACTCCACTGGACTATAAACTTTTTGAGGAGGGAGAGGCCAGGACCATCCTGCTCACTGGGCACCTGCTGGGTCTGCAAGTGATGTATCTGCAATACAAGTGCTAAGTGAATGGGCTTGTCTGGAGATGAANCCACTCCACTGGACTATAAACTTTTTGAGGAGGGAGAGGCCAGGACCATCCTGCTCACTGGGCACCTGCTGGGTCTGCAAGTGATGTATCTGCAACACAAGTGCTAAGTGAATGGGCTTGTCTGGAGATGAACAAGTTGAGCAAAGAGACTGGATGAAGTGAGTGTTTACTCCACAGCTTCCCATGAAAATATCAGCTGTGTGTCATGACCTGCAGGAGGTGCTTAGAACACAAAGACAGATGGAAATGATGCTGTCCTCAGGGTGGCCAACGCAGGGGCAAAGGTTAAGTTCTGTCTAGACATCATATGAGGTTGTGATGAGTGCTGTAAGAGAGGTGGCCAGTACTGCCCCAAGGGAGGCAGTGACTGGCTCCACCAGGGAGGCTGGAGCAGGTGCTGTCTGGGAGGCTGTGTGTACTGAGCCTGGACAGTGGTCAGCAGTGCAGCTGCACCCTGCGCCTGGGTGGGAGTGGTTGCTTGCTGCTCTGCTTTCTGGGGCAAGTGACCTGTTTAATGCACCTACAACTTGGGGGGTTGTTTTTGTTCACCCTCTATTTTTGGTTTGTTTATTTTATGTGGTGTGTGTGTGTGTGTGCTCATTCACTCAATCATGTCTGACTCTTTGCAACCCCATGGACTATAGCCTACCAGACTCCTCTGTCCATGGAATTTTCCAGGCAAGAATACTGGAGTGAATACCATTTCCCACTCTAGGGGATCTTCCCAACGCAGGGATCAAACCTGCATCTCTTGTGTCTCCTGCATTGGCAGGCAGATTCTTTATCACTGTGCCACCTAGGTAGGTAGGTTTAGTCGCTCAGTCATGTCTGACTCTTGTGACCTCATGGACTGTACCAAGTTCCTCTGTCCATGGGATTTCTCAGGCAAGAAGACTGGAGTGGGTTGTCATTTCCTTTTCCAGGTGACTGTGCCATCTAGGAAACCCTATTTTATGTGGACTTATTGTCAAATCAAATCAAATATTGTAAAAGGAGATGATGCTGGGCTGAAAGACAGGGGAAGAACACAGTGGGACAGATTTCCATCTCAACATAAAGGAAATCTTGGGCAAGATTAGGACTCTGAAAAGCAAACGGCTGACTCAAAACAGTGTTTCTCATTATTGACAATATATCAGTAGATGCTGGAGGACTGAGAGTGTTGGAGAGGGAGGGAGATTGCCTGGATCTGAATCTCAGCTCTGCTCCTTGTGAGCTCTGGGCCCTAACTAAGTCCGTCAGCTCTCTGCGACCCAGTCTTCTCATCATAAAATGGTATTTACCTCATAGGGTCATTATGAGGATTCAGTTCAGTTCAGTTTAGTCACTCAGTCNTCACTTTCATCAAGAGACTCTGGATTTAAACCTGCAAAACCCTCAGAATAGTGCCTGGCATGTGGTAAATACCACATAAATGTTATCTGTGGTGATGGTAATGATGATCATATTGATGATAATGATGGTGACGATGGTGATCGTGGTGGTGATCGTGGTGGTGATGATGATGGTGATGATGCTCATGATGGTGGTGATCATGCTGATGAAGGTGGTGGGGATGATGATGATGGTGGGGATGGAGGTGGTAGTGACAGTTGTGATGATGATGATGGTGACGATGATGATTAGTGGCTGAATCTTATGCCTTTTGAAGAAGTTTTAAAATCTGAGAGTCAAAAGTCCTTCATTGCAGGAAGGGACACACTTTGAAATTATCTTTATGAATTTGTGTTATGCTAACTTTACGATGCTGAAAATTCAGATTTTGGGTTGCCCAAAATAACCTGTCAGATGTAGTACATCTTAACAGAACTAATGGCTTAATATGACAGAAGTCTGTAAAGGGCTACCTGGCCCTGCCACTCTGGATACCCTGACTGTGGCTGTTCCAGGTTGTGGACCTACTTATGTGGTTGATAGAGGATTCTCAGAGAGCCCAAGGAATTAGGAACCCAAGAGAAAAGGCTCTATGCTTTGAACTGGGTTTCAGACTTACACTTTTATTTGAATATATTAGGCTGTTTGCTTCAAGATTCTCTTAAGTTCCTGGTCTTTGCAGCTACAGCTGTCAAGTCCATCTCATCCACTGCATGTCCATGGGTGGGTTCCCCGCATCAGCTACCTGCTATGCTGTTAAAGGGAATGGCTACAAGCTGCCTCTGCTTCCCACTCGCCCTCTCTCTGAAGTACACTGGGCTGTTCTCTCAGTGCTGGCTCTTGCAGCAGTGTTCTGGCAGTTGGGTTGATGGCAATGGGTTTTGAGAGCTCTTGGACCTGAAAAGCCTACTTCTTGTCTGCTGCGTCATTCCATGTTCTGAGTAACACAGGACAGTCCGCTCATTGTTGTGACCTCATGCCTGGCATCATTTGGGTTATCACAGCTCATCATCTAATTTGGAAGGACAAATCTCATTTATTTAGCAAATGCATCTGTGCAATGGGAACAATTTTGAGGATTAAAAGAGTATAAAGCACTGAGAACTATGCCTGGCAAATAGCAAATGCTTTATAAATCCTAAGTCATTTAGTTTTCACGATAATTCTGAGCTGCATACAATTATTATCTCCATTGTGATGATGTGGAAACCAATGTACAGTGAGACTCAGTAACTTTTAAGATCACACAGCTATCTAAGAGTAGTTTTCAAGCAAGGGGATCTGGTCTAGAGTTCATTCTCTTAACCACTAAGCATTGTGCCTCAAGGGGCTGTGGCCTGTTGTCTTGTAGTGGTTGTGGATTGGTTAGCTAACTGAACTGAGTTAGACATGTGGTTTTACAGGATATAAGATTTATTATTAATCTTTTGAGAATTCAGCTATGACTGGCATAGGATGAAGAAGGGTTTGGGGGATTTTGCTAGCCATTAAGCAATGTCCCTATTAGAATGTATTTCTGTTAGATGACTTCATTGTGGGCAGTCTGGCATGTTCTCATTAGATGAAGAAATGGCATCTTTATGCAGGTTTCTATCAAGTGCTTTGATGAAATAAGGTAATAAGCACAGCATATTGTAGCATTACTTGATGATTGTATGGAACAGAATGATTATGGAAAATAAAAGTTTGTTTTGTTATATTATGCTTTTCTTACCTCATATGTAGTAACCTAGCTAATTACAGAACATTCCTTATTTGTACTTTGGAAAAGACTATTTGTTTGCACCTTGTTCAATTTTATTGAGGTACAAGAAGCAGTCCTCAGGGTTATCCCAATTACAGGTAAGAGAGACAGCTTGAATACTGATAATATCACAGTTTACTATATAAATAATTACTGTTAAGATTATAAATAGGGGCATACTCAAATGGTTTTAGTTAATGTAAGCAAATTTTTCCTTTCCTTATAGTTAATTGTAGTATATTTTCATGACTTTTATAAACATGATTGAGGAATCAGGATATTCAGACTGATTAAAAGGGATAGAATCTCTTTACCTTCATAGCTCTAAGAGTTGGCGTTCAATGTACATGATTGGTAAATATGAAGGATGAGTGAAGATGACTCCTTCTAAGTCATCTAGACCAGAGTTTCTAGCTGGATCTGCCAACTCTCTGCTCTGACTGCACACTGGAATCACCCAAGAAGCTGCAAGAGCCCCCAGTACCCAGGCCTCCCCAGGTCTGGATCCCCAGCACAGTGGGAGCTGCTGGGGATACGACACTGAATAGCATGGGCAAGCTCCTGCTGTGCTGAGCTGACAGTGTAACCGNCTGACTGCACACTGGAATCACCCAAGAAGCTGCAAGAGGCCCCAGTACCCAGGCCTCCCCAGGTCTGGATCCCCAGCACAGTGGGAGCTGCTGGGGATACGACACTGAATAGCATGGGCAAGCTCCTGCTGTGCTGAGCTGACAGTGTAACCAAGCGAGACTGAAAACGTAAAAACTGTAAGATATGATAGGTGGTGTCACGAATTATGAAGAAACAGCAGCGTAAGGTGGAGAGAGTAGATGAGCAGAGTGTCTAGGGTGTCTAAATCTTGGGAAATCCAGACATTTGACACAGTTCTCATGTTAATTGTTGGCTTGGGGCACATCCGTTTCCTTCACCCACCCCTCTGTTTCTGTATGACTGTCTTTACCCTGTGCTGAATTGTCCTCCTCAAGTGCTCTGTGCTTCTGTTTCCATAGCTTCCAGCCATTCACTTCGATAGTGCCCAGAACAGCGTGATGAAGTCTGAGCCTGCCGTCAGGGCAGGTGGGCAGAGAGCTCGAGGTCGGTGGCATGAATCCACAGAAGCTGTTGAACTTGAAAATTTTAGGTAAGAAATCCAGCATGCTCTTTGCCTTTAGCAGCCTGGGCTGCTAATTAGCCCCAAGATTTATTTGTCACAGGAGCTAAAATGGAAAGTCCATTTTAAAATGTACCACGGGGATTCTGAATTTAATAATTGAAGGTAGTACTTAGCCCACTCCCGGAAGTGCTGTGTGAGCAGCAGGCTGTCTGGCTGCAGGCGGAAGTGACCTGGGAGCCTTGGGACACCAGCTGACATTTGCTCCATCAGGTTGACCTGGCGAGGCTGATAGTGAGCTTTGTCTTTAGCTTTTGGAGGGTGCATATCTCACCTGCTGTGAGGAGGCATGAAAGCCCCCGCTGTGAGCAACCATGATGGCTGAGGACATGGTTGTCAGAGTGCTCAGGCTTTCTGTTGAAACATTGCCCTCACCTTTCACGTTGGGAGTGCCAGCCCATGGTTCACTCTCCTGTTGCCATGGAGACCTCTTAGCCGCTGATGCTGTCGTGGGTCACCCCTGTTCAGGGCGCTGGTTCTCTCCAGCTCTCCCTGTGGTAAGGTCATTTGACACTAAGTACCATGTAAATAATGAATGACATGAAATACCAATATAAATATTCTAGAATGATCATTTATTGTTTTGGCCTAAGTCTTGTTTCCCTGTTATTTTCTGAAAATGAATTTAATAGTCCACAAACATCACATAATGTTACATGAGTTAATATTTTTAAAATACATGTTTAGTGAGGAATGAGGAAGTCTTTAAAAAATTGTTACATATTCAGTCTGCTCATATGTGTGTGCTAAGAACTATGACAGCCCTCCTCTACTATGAACTAGATTAAGGGGGCCACAGTCAGTCCCATGACCTCTGACATAGCACGAGGGTGGAGCAGTACAAATGGCAGTAATAAGGCTGCAAAACCTGCCTCTGAGGCAGTGTATTTATGGAATTCCAGTGGATCTAGCCTAATTCTAAAAATTGGTCTATTTGAATGTGCATGAAATATCATATTATATATTCCATAGCAATGTGATCCTTTTAAAGGGTATGGCTTTGGGATATTTTTAACCTCTCTTTTGGTTGTAATATCAGGAGAGAGAGAACTGAAGTTAGAATATCTCACAGCTTTGTTGTATTACCCACCCCCCACCCCCCCTACACACAATCCACAACCACAAAAGCTCTCACAGTTGAAGGGCTGTTGACCACAAGGGGATATGCATGGTGTCCAGTGGTGGTAACAGCTATAGTGGCCACAGCCGTGGCAGGTAGTGAGGTGAAGGGAGGGGGCCTTGTCTCCCTTTTGCACGGCTGTCTAGATCACATACTCTAGCATTCTTGCTCTCCATGTGGCCTTTTCTTCCCTCTCACAAATTTTAACTATTAAGTGTTTATAGGGAATAATATAATGTAATAAAATGAAATATATATGCTTGACTCTAATCTTTATTATTAACTCAATAATTTAATTTCCATGTCCTATTTCGGCAGTTGATACTTGCTTTGGCAATACACTGAATTTCAAGAATCCTTCAACATTTGCATGCATATAGGTGGTCTTTCTCTACATTGGTAATTTTGAGGCAATCTAAATAATTTTTATTACAAAATGCTTTTCTATTTGTTTCATCTTAGTATAAACTACAAGAATGAGAGAAATTTCAGCAAACATCCCCAGCATAAACTATTTCAGGAGATATTTACAGCCTTGGTGAAAAATAGACTCATATGCAGGTAAGACTGTCCCAGAAAGAAAATGACATTTGCCCAAGAATGGCATGTATTATGTATCTTGTTTCTAGCATCTGTTTTGAAGCAGTTTATGAACGTAACATGCTCAAAGGATAAAACAGAGCAAAGACCATTTTGAAGGAGGTGAATGAATCATCACTGCAGATGATCTCATTAAAATTACTCTGGTTAGGCCTGAATTTAGCTGAACTTTATGATAGACAAGGCAGAATGGGAACACACCCAAGTCACGCTGTTTTCCTTGACTTGGGTTTGGATATTCAGGAGGTGTTTATCACAGAGACATCAGGTAACACCATGGCCAGCGTCCTCAAAGTCTAGATTTGCAGTCAATCCAAGCACTGATTAAGTGGGCTGCTGCAGCCTGGACCTCAAGGAAAGGATGGGGGTGAGATAACCAGTTCCAGCCTGGGGACGGTATTTCTTTTCATGACCAAGTCAAATGTTCTTTCTTTGGCTCTCCTTTGTCTTAACACTGGTGCACTGTGGACTGCAGGGAAGGGCTCGCTGGCCGGCCCTCCAGATTCTCTCCTGAAAATGCCAGGGGTTTTCAGTGAGCCATTACCTGGTGCCGGATTGCAGTCAGGATTGACCTTTCTCTCGGCCCTGGGCCACTTGCAGTGGGAGCTGCGCTGCCGTCAGACTGGAAGGAGGCTCCCAGCATCCGTCGTGGTTGGACTGGCCTTCTACTTTTCCTGCGAGGCCCAGACTCTCTCACCACAAGCACTAGGGGGAAAGCCCAGGAAGAACCTTGAATCTTCCCCATCACTCTGGAACTTGATTGAGATATCTGAATTCTGCCCCAGTGAGATGGGAAAGATTGCTCTTATTCTGGAAAGTAGGAAGAATACCATTCTTCTTGAAAATTTAATGGCTGACTGAAATAAGACTCTGACTTGGTCCAGTGCAGTAGGTGACTCTAAGTAGAACAGCATCCCTAGAGTGTAAGTGGTAGTCTGAGGATTTGATCTTCTGGAGGGGTTATTTAGTATTGCAAACTTAAGTACTGACTTAAGTATCTTCCCGACCCAGGGATCAAACCCAGGTCTCCCGCATTGTAGGCAGACGCTTAACTGCCTAAGCTACCAGGGAAGCCTAAGTATTGACAGTGACTGCCAAATACATTGGTTTAATTTAAAACAATCTAGGGTTGGGATTGCATGTGTCATGACTTCATATGTGGTTTAAGCAGAATATCAGTAGACTGGCTCAGCTGACACAAGACGCCTAGAATCTTTACCAAGTTTATGTAGTTTGGTTACAGTCAGTTGTCACTAGCCTCAGAAGACTGTTGAAAGATTAATGAGCTCTGCAGAGGACCTGAGGTTGTCCTGGACTGTCTGTTCTTGTGCTTGAACAGAGTAAGAGCAAAGTTAGTGGCACAGTAGTTATGCCTGAAATGGTATTATTGGAAAATTGAAGTTCTTTAATGTGTTTTGAAGATGGTAATCATAGACTCCTCAGAGACTCCAATAGGTCATTTGTTGGGTTGGTGCTTTGGGGAAGGCAGAAGTTTTCCTCTATTGAGTGTAGAGATCTTACTATCTCTCTGCCCTGCAGACACCAGGTACATGAATCATCAGGGAAGATAGGCGGGTGAGGGCTGGCATCCAGCAGCTGAAAGAGATCTTAACAGTTCTGAAGTCAAGACATCTCTTGTTGAGGACATTTTCACATTCTTAGTGATTATTGAGGCATCTTACATTGGACGGAGTTATTGACTTGCAACAGAACCAGTTCCTGGAAATCTTTAAACCAGGAAGAGCTGATTATAGATACCTTTGCTCTCATGGGAGGAGAAGGAATTTAGGAATGTTGAATATCAAGAGCATCCTTTCATGTCATCCTCTCACTGATGACAGATTGTTACATCCTGTTCTATTCTAAAAGCAGGGTTGGGTAAAAGATGGATTAAGTATAAAGGTCTTCCATTGTTTCTTACCCCATATAACCTTGTTTGTTTGGCCAGAACTACCTGTTTTTTCTTTTCCTTCTAACTTTAGTAGAAATACATCTCAGGGCCTTTACTGGTATGGTTTCCTATCCCTTTTCTTTGCAAACATCAGATTTGATGTTGACTGAAAGGCTTGGATTCAGTTCAAGAAACAAATTATTGAGCCTCACCATGTACATGGCAGAGAGGGTCAAAGTATAAAGATGACTAGGACACACGGTCCCTTTCTTCCTAGGGACTCACTCTGGTCAGCTAGTTACTCACATCTCAGTACAAAGAAAATGTGACAAAAAGTAAAGTATATTAAGACAAACAGAGGATGGATGAAATTGGAGGGGTGTGGACTTTGGCCTTCGGTCCAGCTCTGGTTATAGGTAAGATTGGGCATATTTCAGACGCTGTGCTGCTCAAGTTTACCCTGAGCATACGGCTGACTGGGAATTTAGTCTCATCTACTTACACGCAGTTGACATTCTTCTTGTTTGTTCCTCTTCTATTTCACTTTCTCCAACAACATTCACCCCTAAACCACACTTCTGGATACTCTATTTCCTGGGTTGTTTTCCTAAGGTTGACTTGTAATTGCCCCTTTGTTCTCAGAAATAAAATTGCCAAGCAGCGTCTGAAACAAGACAAGAGTTCTTACTCTAGAGTCAGATTGAGGCAAAGGCCTCACAGTAGACCTTGCCTCAAAGGGCAAGTGAAAATGTCTCTGAACCTGAGGTTGTACAACCTGGGTTGTACATGGCGATGAATCTTGATGTGTGGCAGGGGATGTAAATGAATTTTCATCTTCCCACTTTTCCTTCTGCCCTGAGATCATTTGTCCTCAGTAGAGTCTGCTGTTTGAAAATGCATCCACCTCTTTTTCATCTTATTTGTCTGTGCAAGAAAGCACAGAGTTATGAGATTGTGTAGGGAAGTAGAAACTGTTACAACACTGGCACATTTAAACCAGAAAGAGATGATTATAGATGTCTTTGCTGTCATGGGAGGAGAAGGAGTTTAGGACTGTTGAACATCAAGAGCATCGTTTCATGTCATCCTCTCACTGCTGACAGATTGTTACATCCAGTTCTATTCTAAGTAGGGTCGGGCAGAAGATGGATTAACTGTTAATCCATGGATGGATTAAAAGTTAACTGACCGCTTATAAAGTCAACCTCTACTCCCGGATCTTTTCTCTATAACTGCTCCTCTGAGGCACCTCTGTTGGTCCATTCCCTGCTGATTGCCAGATGATGTAAAGATTCTATAACATAATACAAATAAGACATAACTTAACTTGTGAAACTGGAAGCAGATGTAGAATTTCATGCAGTTATTGCAAGTGATGGTGCTTAACTGGTAGGACCTGATCAATGAGGCCCTGGCAGAATCAGACCACTTGACGATTGTAGAGAAGTATTAACAAGGGAGGTGACAGGGTGAAATTCAGAAAAGCATGTTTTGAATAGCAAAGATTAGGAGAAGCCATTAGGAAACATGGATGGATCTTTCTAATATATTTGCAGAAATGAACCTGTTTTATGCTGCAGAAATAAAAAGTAAATCCAAGGAAATTGGATCATGTTATATGACTTTGTCAGAAAATATATGCCAAAAAGTGTCAGCTGAACCCATTCTTGCTTTGTTCTAGTTATCAGGTCAGAGTAGCATTATACATTAAATTTTGTTAAATGTAAAAGAAAATATATCTAAGTTTCATGATTTATTTATTAAACTATTGGGTTGGTCAAAAAGTTCTTTTAAGTGTTTGATAACATCTTACAGAAAAACCTGAATGAACTTTTTTAGTCAACTCAACAATATTTTAATTACACCATGTCCCCTTCTCTGTAATATGAAAATTGGGGGTTATTTTAAAGTAGGTTCTCGGGAATTCCCTTGTTGCCTAGTGGTTAGGATCCCCGGCTTTCACTATGGTGGCCCAGGTTCAAGCCATGGTCAGGGAACTGAACTGAGATCTCACAATCCACATGTCACGGTCAAGAAAAAAAAAAGAATAAATAAATAAAGTGGGTTCTCTTTTAGGTATGACTATTCTAGTAATTTGGAAACTCCCATGAATGGAGGAGCCTGCTGGGCTGCAGTCCATGGGGTCACAATGGAGAAGGCAACAGCACCCCACTCCAGTACTCTAGTCTGGGAAATCCCATGGACAGAGGAGCCTGGTAGGCTGCAGTCCAAGGGGTTGCAAAGAGTTGGACACCACTGAGCGACTTCACTTTCACTTTTCACTTTCATGCATTGGAGAAGAAAATGGCAACCCACTCCAGTGTTCTTACCTGGAGAATCCCAGGGATGGGGGAGCCTGGTGGGCTGCTGTCTCTGCGAAGAGTCTGCGAAGAGTCAGACACGACTGAACTGACTTAGCAGCAGCAGCAGCATTCTAGTAATTGCCAGGATATCTCCTCTTCTCCCACCTGTAACTTTTTTTTCCACCTTTAACTTTTATAGAAGTGAGTGTGTTCCAGGTTCTTTAAGTTCATTTAAAAGAGAACCACCTGATCTAACTAAGCATGACTTTGTTTTTTGTCCGTAAGTGCAGTCACTTTTCTGATAAGAACAAGTTGGCATCCTTATTTTACATCACATTTCCTGAAATACATGCTACAAATTTGAAGTATTTTGGAAATGCATCTAGGAAGTCTGGATTGGGAAGCTATTTTCACTCTCTGCAAGAACTGCTCAAGAGCTCAAGGACTGCTTGAATTAGGGAAAAATATCTGGTCCAAACCATCACAATCCTATTAAAAATGCTGTAAAGTGTTCTGTGACCTTCCCAGGGACCTCTAGCCCAGGAGACCTACATAGTTACTTGTTTGCTGCTTACACCTCTATTGTCCACATCCACACTAAAGTCGAGGCCACAAGGCAAGTAAGTGCATCTTCTTTGGAACTTTGCCTAATCTTCAGCCTCAGCTCTCTAGAGCTGTCACGGGGACCAAAGGGTCAGAAGAAACAACAATCTCATCAGAGTCTTGATTAAGTTCTTAAAATAGACCAAGGTGATGGAGAGATGCTT